GAGACTTCAGCTTTGTACTTTGGAGAAGACTTCATTGTATGGGCTATTTCTGTAGAGTAACTTTAAAAATAATGGTAGCACAGTAGGACTGATACAACACTAAATCTACACTTCACTCTCTTCCTGCAGGAATCGTACATTTTGTAGTTAGTTATGCATTTTTTTTCCTGTTCTAGTCAAACAGTTATACTAACTAGTATTAACTCTCACCTTTGAGGTTCATGTGCTAATCCTCCCCCTATGCAGAATCACTCATCTTCTTCTGTTGACTGGCTAGATAATATGCCATAACATCAACCTATTGCTTCATCCCAGAATTTCCACTTTCCAGTAGTTGTATTCTAGCTCTGAATGTTAAACAAGTTGCATGCAGAGTTTATGTACTGTTCACCATATGTGCAGCCACTTCTTGTGTTGCTGTCAATGGTTTTATTATTTTCCATCTTTACCTCAAGTGTTGTGCTCAATGACTAGGTCTGAAAGTGATAATTAGTTCCCCACTGCAGAGATACACTGATTTACATATTTATCAAGGGGAAACTGGATGGCTTTGAGCATGCCATAGAAACATTTGCATATTTATAACCTGAAATGTACAAAAGCTAAAATTAAGATAGAGATGTCTTGGTCTTAGTAACTAAGCTTTTTTTTATATACAAAGGATTTAGTCAGTAGATTTTGTTGTCAGATCTGTGCATTAAAGACTGAAGTATCTTTTTTCATCACATAAAATCAACATAGACATTAAAATGATTGTTAGCTTGTGAATGACGGTATGCAGAAGCTGCAACATCAAGTTTTCATAAGGTGAAAATCTTAACCTTTGATCCCTGAAGAGATGATGAACTGTAGAATTACCTTAATTTAACTCCTGTAGCACAAAGAGGGTCCTAAGAGGTTTACTGTGTAGTGGCTATATAGTTGAATGGCATCAATATCTTTTCTGGGAGAAATATGGGCCTCCAGGTACTTATGCATGTAAGATTAATTTGTAGGAGTTTATGCATGCATTCAAAGCACTCCTTGCTTGCCACTCGCAGAGGTGAACCCCTTCAGCTGACTAGAAGTTAGTTGTGATTCTGGTTAATGATGCTATTCAAAAACAAGCATTAGTATCAGTAGGAAACAGCAAATTAAAAACAAACAAACAAACAAACCCAAAGCAAACTATTTCCTCTAGGCAGAGATGTGATGGCTGAACTTCCCAGGTCACTCTTTGCCCATTAACAGTCTCAAGCTTACTGTAACTTTCTGGATACAACAAAGGCACATGAAAGTCTGCTGGAATGGGAAAAAAATATTATATTTACAGGAATTACCTTTATTGTCGACTGTCTTGTCCTGAGACATATCTTTAACCCTCCTTTTAAATCCTGTTGTTTCTTCATATCTGGCAAACTGCTTTAAAGCTTTCCTCACAAATAGACTACTTTGTCCTAATGCCTAGATTACATAGAGGTATTCGGTATTCTAGAGCTTTTTATTCATAATTTCAGCAAGATTCTAAATTATTTCACACTAATACAAATAATATTTCTGTTCTGTTGACTTCAAATGGCAGTAAGCTAATCTATGAATCAAATGCATTTGTTCATATGCTTGCTTGACAAAACCTTTTAACGATTTTCCAAATCAGTAACACATTTGTAAACACATTATTGCTTTTCAGTGTTTGTACCTTGTTTTCAAATGAATAATAATTTTTAGAAGTCTTATATCTTAATGTAGATGAGTACAGTAGGAGTTTTACATGGTTCAAAACTCCAGAAATTACATTCAGCTACCATTCATGCTGTGTTAGACAAGTTGAATAGTGGCATGACACTCTCAGTTTCCTTCTAAAGAGCAAAGTAAATTACTCTTATTGCTTTCGCATGGCTATCACTCCATTGAAATTGGCATTTTCACTTTAAGACTTAAACAACTCTTTATAATTAACACAGCTTGAAGCAAGAGTGGAGAACAGAATGTAGAGAGCAGTCCTCAGCATATTTTGGAGGAAGCTTTACCTAAACTTTGTAACATTTACGTGCTAATTAAAACAAGTAACATCTTAATGCTGTCCTCAATCTGTTTTGTATCTTAAAAAATACAAATAAAAGAAAAGTGTCCAATGATCTAATGTTTTTTCCTACTACAGCGCTAGGCACCTATATTAGCATAGGCATTCCTAGAATGGCAATAGTAGGAGAAACTTGATCTGAAATTCTAGTTGCTAAATAGCTTCAGAAATTATGCAGCTCTGTCAGTGTTAGATTGATTTTCTTGTTCAGAAACGTTGTCTTTCCAAATCTGTTATCTTGAAATCAGAAAAAATGTAAATGGTAGCATCCACAGAGATCAGTGCAGCTGTTAATTTTTCAGAACACGGCTTTCAAATGAGTCTTTTCAAACAAGAATCCTTCAATTTTTATTGATAATTTCCTGCACTAGGGATAGCAAGCTATTGTTGCTGAACTGAGCTACAGTTTTCCCAGTGTTTTGACTTACTTATCCTACAGCTTCATATTCTGTATAAGCTCTTTACATCCAAAAAATCTTTGAAAATTTGTATTGCTTTCTGCAACCAGAAGTATGACTTAAAGGGGATACTAAGCCAGTTGAAGCCCCATTCTTGTAATTCAAGAGCACATGACATATGATACCCTTCCAAACATATTTTATGGATGAAGCAATACAGTTTTATCATCTTCTCTTACTCAGACATCATTTATCTGTTCACCATACTCATTAAAGTGTATAGCTCATGCAGTTGCATGTCTAGCATTTTGGATAGGATTCATCTTACTGTCCTTGATGTCTAATATGAAGGCATTTACTTTTGAGCTAGTTGCCTGTCTTCTCTTTTTCATTCAACAGGTAAAAAAGACCTTTTTGCAGTTGATTCACCTCTTCCAAAATTAGGCAGCTAAAATAGGTTAGATGAAACTCCTCCTTGTTCACTAACTGCATTGCCTGGGAATATTTATACATCAATTTTAACCTAATTCTGAAGTCTCTATGTGAAATCTACAGAAATAATAAGAGTGGAGGAGTTAAGAGTAAAAAAATAAATTACTATAAGAAAACAGTAAAGGATATATTTTGCCTACTTCATTTTGGTTTATATTGTATATATTTTATATACGGGATGAATTTGAAAATCCAGTTTCGTCAAGGAAAACTGTATAGACAAAAAATGCATTTGTGTATGTCATTGCATGTATGTTTCTTTGTGCAATCCCATTTATTATTATTATCATAGAATGACAAAGTCATAGATTGATACAAGTTGGAATGGAACTCTGGAGGTCACGTGGCTGAATACCCACATGTCCTAATTTGTCTATATACTCCACATTTTATCCTCATTGCCACCTTTCCAAGGGATATTATCATTACTTATCAAGTACATACCCAAACAATCTCAGAAGCCAGTGGGAAATTGCCTCTTTCTTGGCACTAAGTCTACCTGCTGCAGCAAGCAAATGGCTTGTCAGATGGATCAGCATAATTTTCCCTCAACCCACCAACTTTAAAATGTCAGCCTTTGCAACAGATTTTCCTCAGGTCTGTTTGAAAATTTCAACTCCCACAAGGTTTCAAAATTTACATAAACAAATTTTCCTAGTCTTACATTTCTTCTTTGACCCTAGTTTATAAAGAAGACCATTAGGTATCACTTATTTAACAGCTGATGTTCCTTTCTTCATGACCCAGTCATTTGAGCTGATGAGAAATTTTAAAAGTCAACTTATTTAACAAGGCACTTTTAGAATGCTATAACATTAAAAGACTAGGAGAAATAGTAGCAATAAGGTCAGGTAACAACTCCTTATTCAGAAAGAGAGCATAGCAACAGAAATTATGATCTGAAAATTGTTAAAGAAGGCTCTGTATTTCAAACTTCTTATCTCATCCTCTTTGACACAATAATTGGGCGTCACTGATTAATTAATTCTTAGTGGACAGGTGAGCACATCAAAATTAACATTCAAATTGAACTATTCTTGTAGGTTTAAGTAAAAAGAATAAAGATCCAATGGTTGTAAAGACAGAATTATCTTTATATGCTCTGAGCTCCCTAAAGGACAAGGTTAAAGCTCATTTGCAGGCTGATGTGAAGAAATATATTCTTAAACTTTGGTCAGTTTCCAGGACCAGTAATTTTAGATTCCTAATCAGTATAAAATTTACTGGAGCAAGTTACAAAGAGCGACTTCACTCTCATTCATACAAAACCCATCTTTAAAGATCTCTGTCTAAATAGGTTTGAATGTAATTTATGTGCACAGCAAGGCTCTCCACAGTGCCAAGGTAGTGTGAGGAGCCCTTTGTGAAAATGAAATGTGAGCCCACAATGCCTTAGTGTTACAGAGCATATCCATGTGTATTTCTCTTTTAAATATGTGCATGTGTGTAGTGTTTATTACCTTGCTCATTTTGAGTTTAGTCAATTTCTGTTCTTATATGATGAGAAATTAGGGTCTAATTAGTAGGTTTCATAATGAAACCATGTGGCCTCCAGAGGCACTACATATGTTAACTTTATATTTTTTTCTTAGAATGTCTTATTCTAACACTCACACTGAGTGCCATGCTGCCTCTATAGGTTGCTAGGCAGCAGAGCTTTACCCCCAAACTGTTAGCTCTGTTCTGTGTGGTGAGATTCTTTCAGATATCCTCAGTGGTTTGAATCTTCTTGCTAAGGGGTTTCCTTGATTGAGAGCAACTGCTTCCAAAGGTCACTGGCTCTGTGTGGATCAGCCCTTTTCTCTGATGTGCACAAATCTTCTCATTTTACACTTCAAGAAACCCTGCAGCAATCGAACCATGGTCCTGATTGCAACAAGCCTTATGCAATTGTCCCCTACTGTATGTTGCATGGTGCCAATTGCTATGTATGGAAAGTGATCTTAAAAAGGCACGAGGACAAAAATATTTGTATGTGGCAAAGCTAATGAAAAATCCACTTGAAAGCATTAAAGCTGTCTCTTTTTTTTTTTTCCTTTTTTTTTTAGGGCAGGTTCTGGATGTGCTGGAGAAATATAATCTGAGCAATAAAACTCTTGTATATTTTACATCTGACCAAGGGGCTCATGTTGAAGAAATCTCTAGTTCTGGAGAAGTCCATGGAGGATACAATGGCATATATAAAGGTAAACATTCTCCGATGGTTTTTTAAAATTGTGACAGAAACTGTCTCGGTTTTGCTCCAAAACTGTAATGTACTCTATGGACAAGAGGGTCAAAACTTGATTCCTTAATAATAAGCTTTTAATGACTTTCATTCTAACTTCAAACATAGGCAGTAAATATAAGGGCTTTACTTGTCAAATACAGCAGTTCAACCAGAGTACATGCTCAGCTCTTTGGAGTTTTAAGACTAGAAAATATACTCTTTTAGCCAGTGATACGGCTTTGGAAGGATGTCAGTTCATAGTACTTTACTATCATGGCTGGATAGCAGAATAGAAAGGAAAAAAAGGTAGTTTGTGAGCCATCAGGAATCATGAATGAGAGCAAAATACCATGGAATGAGAGGGATCACACGAAGGGAAGGTATAGAGATGAGAGAACCAGCAACAGAGTCCGGTGTAGTCATTACAGAAAAGGTAGAAAAGGGAAGATAGGTTTAAAAAGAGAAAAGAGGAGCTGGACTGAGTTTGAGGTAGGCAAGTTCAACAACAGCTGAAAGAAGACAAGATTGCAAGCAGAAAAGTCTGAGTTGGAGAAGACAATTTTGAAAATAATGCATAACAGACTTACTGAATTGAAGATGGATTTGGAAATGGAGCGACTTTAGTTAAAAGGTCACAGTTTAGTTGTAATCTTTTAGTGCAGGTCTTGAGAAGATTAATAGTCCAAAATCTGTTTATTCTGTGGAGACATAAAATGTATTTAAAGTATGCCTTATTGTAATACACTTTCTCCCAGTGATATCACACTACAATATGGTGATCTTGTAGAAAGAAAAATTTCAGCTTAGCAAATGGGCTTCCTCAATTTGTCCATTCCCATATCCCTGGCATGGTGATCCCTTCAGTCATCAGGAATGTAATACACCACTAGATAATAGACAACATTGTCAAATATGAAATAAAGAATTCCCTCTGACAAAGTACAGAAAGCAGTGTTTTCCAATGTGCAAGTGCTGGACACACAACATCAGGAAAATGAATGTCAAAATGTTTCTTAATAATCCTCAATTTTTCATGAAACACAGTGAATATTTTTGTCCTTTTGCTAGAGATACTTATTTTCATTCTTTCACTTGGAAGTGGCTGTGTAATTTGTTTTGTTCTCGTATTTCAAGGGACAAGATCAAAGAAATACAGCAGTTTTTTGAAAAGTCATTTACCAAACTTGAAACTTTTAGTTGTAAAGAGAAAGAAGTAAATTGCCTTTATTTTTTTGTGTTTTTTTTGGGGTTTTTTTGTTTTTTTTTTTAAGGTAGTGTTGCAGAATTACAAAATCACATAGTAATTGAGTCTGGAAGGCACATCCCAAGTTCTGTAGTCCTAGCCCCTGCAGAGCAGGATCAGCTAGAGCGGGTTGCTCAGGGCTGTGCCCATTCAAGTTATAAAAATCTGCAATGATGGAGACTCAACAGCCTCTCTGAGCAACTCTCGCAGGTGTTTAATCACCCTCACCATGAAAAAAAAAGCTTTTTCTTACATTTAAATGGGATTTCTGGTGTTTCAGTTTGTGCTCATTGCCTCTTGACCTGTTACTGGGCACCACTGTAAAGAGCCTGGCTCTGTCCTCTTTACTCAAGTAAACTTATGCATCCATACAGATGGTAAGGTCCCACTCAGCCTTCTCTTCTCCAGTCCCAGCTCTCTCAGCTTCTCCTCATATGTCAAATGCTCTGACCACTTAATTGTTTTCATGGCCCTCCTTTGAACTCCCTGCAATATGTCCATGTCTCTCTTGTACTGAGGAGCTCTGCACTTGGACACAGCACTCCAGGTGTGTCTCACCAGTGCTGAACAGAGGATAAGGATCACCTCCCTCGACCTGCTGGAAACATTCTTCCTAATGCAGCCCAGGATGCTGTTGGCCTTCCTTGCCACAAGGATACATTGCTGGCTCATGTTCAGGTCCTTCTCTGCAGAGCTACTTTCTGCAGGTCAGCCTCTAGCCTGTGCTGGTGCTAGAAGTTATTCCTCTGAACACACAGGACTTGATATTTCTCTTTGCTGAACATCATGAGGTTCCTTTTGGCCCATTTCTCCAGCCTGTCAAGATCCCTCTGGATAGTAGCACAACCATCAGTGGATTAGCCACTCCTCACAGTTTTGTATCATCTGCAAAACTGCAAAAAGGAAGGTAGACATATACAGTAAACAATAACAATACAGCGAGATTTTCAACTGAGAAGGCTCCCCAGTTTTTAGTCAGTAGATACCTGTCTGAGAAATGGCCCTTATATTTTAAGAGAGCTATGAAGGAAGTGCTGCACAAGCAAAACAAGCAATGCCAAAGTCGTGAGGTTACAAACTATCATATGGGTCCCCTGGGCTAACACCAGAGTGAAATGTATCTTTAATGTTAGCACTTAGGCCTTACATAGTGATTTAAGTAATTAAGGAACCATATGGTTACATATCTATAGCTGTAAGCACAGCCTGAGGTGTTTTAGAAGCTCTAAAAAATATTTGCTTTCTAGAATGCCAGACGTAAGATACAGGATAAATGATGAGGAGTTAAAAAAAGACAAATACATTGGGGAATATGCCTTCCTGGAGAACTTTAATTGAACAGAGTCTTTTTTATCAAGCCTTGCAAAATTTTATGTTCATACTTACAGAATGGAGTACAATTTTAAATAGATCTTACCCGAATTAATAAAAAAATCTGATTGATAGGGTTACTTGGGGAGTGATGGGTCTTCCTATTTTTAAAATTAATTATGTGGTTTACAGTTACCACCTATGCTATGCTGGCAAATGTTGTAATATACTATGGGAATGAAAAAAATCACTATTTAAGAAACAAAATCATTATTATATGAGAGACTTTCTTAACAAAATAAAAAATAATTAAAAGACCTATGCAATCAGTTGAATATACTTTTACCATTTTAAAATACAATGAAATATGTTTTATCTTTCACTCTCTCTATCTCCATATCAGTCCTCAATTTAACAGGTATATTTATGCATCATTTTCAAAAGGGCAGAAGTGGAACTGATCAATTAATTGCATAACTGGCAATTTTCATGCATAAGAATTTATTCATATTAACAATCATGTACAGTGAGATGTGTTAGAGGTCTGTACATCTCTGGCAGATTTAATGATAACCAGATCTGTGAAGCCGAAAGACTCAGGCACGGATGTAGCAATGTGCCTCACAAAGCAAAAGGACAATTTTTATGCTGCTTGTGCTCACGTGTGCATGCACTAGGAATTTGCTTCATTTGATGAGTAGCTTACAAAACTGGGAGACATACATGTCCTTTCTCCTTGTCTCTGCTACAAAATCGCTGCTACTTACCTTGTTATATGTGAGCGCTGCATGAATGTGAATATGAATCAAGCCACTTAACCCTCTTGTCAGAGCTGGAGCAGTATGCTTAGCAATAATTGGTTCTGCTCTAAAATCAGAAGCTCTCAACAGATCTCCACAATTTGAACTCATTAATTTGCCTTGATATCTAGCCAAATGAGCACCAATAATACAATTTAAGAGGAGTTTGGAGAGTTAAGTTAGCACTGCAAAACTGGTGCAAAAAGGGGAAATTGGTATTCGAAGGTTTTATTACTCTGGATTATGACTGTGGAACATCATAAATTTGAAATTAGAAAACCAGAGCTAACATAGTGTTTAACTAGTTACTTTCATACACAATCTGGTTTATCTCTTCAGTATCCTTTTTTAGAAGACATCACATTGTAATAATACACAGTACACTTGATGTCCTTCTATGACAAGGTGACCCACTTAGTGGATGAGGGTAAGGCTGTGGATGTTGTCTACCTGAACTTTAGTAAAGCCTTTGACATTGTTTTCTATAGCATTCTCCTGGAGAAACTGGCTGCTTATGGCTTGGTTGGGTGTATTCTTCACTGAGTGGAAAACTGGCTATAAGGCTGAGCCAAAAGAGTTGTGGTGAATGGAATTAAATCCAGTTGGAGGCTGGTCACAAGTGGTGTTCCCCAGGGCTCAGTACTGGGGCCAGCTCTGTTTAATATCTTTATCAATGATCTGGAAATGGGGATCAAGTGCACCCTCAGTAAGTTTGTAGATGACACAGAGTTGTGTGGGAGTGTTGATCTTCTTGAGGGTAGGGAGGCTCTACAGACGTGTTTGGACACGCTGGATTGATGGGCTGAGACCAACCGTATGAGGTTCAACAAGGCCGAATGCCAGGTCCTGCACTTGGGTCACAACCCCATGCAATGCTACAGGGGAAGAGCAACTGGAAAGCTGCCTGACAAAACAAGACCTGGAGATGTTGATCCACAGCCAGCTGAATACAGGCCAGCAGTGTGCCCAGGTGGCCAAGAAGGCCAATAGCATCCTGGCCTGTATCAGAAATAGCATGGCCAGCAGGAGTAGGGGACTGATCATCCCTTCAAGTACTGTGTTCAGTTTTGGGCCCCTTACTACAAGAAAGACATTGAGGTGCTGGAACGTGTACAAACAAGGGCAGCAAAGCTGGTGAAAGGTCTAGAGAACAAGTCTTCTGAAGAGTGGCTGAGGGAACTGAGGTTGTTTAGCCTGGAGAAGAGGAGGCTCAGGGGAGACCTTATTGCTCTCTGCAACTGAAAGGACGTTTTAGTGAGGTGGGTGTTTTTCTCTTCTCCCAAGTAACGAGTGATAAGAAAAGAGGAAATGGCCTCAAGTTGCACCATGGCAGGTTTTGATTGGATATTAGGAATTTTTTTTCAAGAAAAGGGTTGTCAAGCATTGGAACAGGCTGCCCAAGGTAGTGGTTGAGTCACCATCCCTAGAGGTATTCAAAAGATGTGTAGATGTGGCGCTTGGGGACATTATTTAGTGGTGGACTTGGTAGTGTTAGGTTTACAGTTGGACTTGATGATCTTAAAATTCCTTTCCAACCTAAATAATTCTGTGATTCTGTGAATATTGAAGTGGTGGATCAAAGTCATTACCTCTCTTTCCAGTGGGCTTTTTCTGATAGTTATCAGGATCAGAAGCCTTAGAGGAAGCTACCGGAGCTGTGTAGTGAATAAAGATCACTAAGATCTCCTCCTAATCCTAGATAGTATGACCTTGGTTTAAGATGTGAATACTGATAATTTAGATTCTACAAATAGTTTTGGCATTTGTTATATAAATTTTCATTGTGCACAGATCAAATTCCACTTCAAGTCTTTATAAATTCTTAGCATAGCCTAAATCCTTCAGCCATGAAATCCACAATATAGAGAACATGGTGCTTTCATTTACTATTTTGAAATGGGGCAGTTGCAAATTTCATGGAACATCTCCTTGAAGTGTAATAGTTTCCTCACTAATATAAGATAAAGGAGGGAAAACTTATTGTACCTTACCCTTTTTTGGTATACTTTTATTGTGCCTATTTTCCTTTAATACCTCATTCAGAAAAGAATTATCTTGTCCATGTCTTTCATCAATCTTAACTGATGAGTTTTTCCCTGTCCTAATTTCTTGTTATTTTCTTCTGTGAACTATTTCTAATTTCACAATATATTATTTTAAAATGACTTTACAAGCATTGCTTTTTGGGTTTTGCCATAGAATATGTTTATATGCTTACTTTTTAATATTATTCATTTAATCCTATAGAATCCTGTTGCCTTTGTATCTTACTGATTAGAGATGTGCATTAAACAATCTTTGCATAAGTCCTTTTTTTTTTAAGTATGCAGTGAAGGTTATGATATGAATAACTAAGACCATAGACCCTAGTTAAGTTATTTTTTTCTCTAATGTTAATTGTACTGCAAATATTTTTACAGAATTTGAACCTGCATCTTGTTTCCTGTTTGTCCAACTTGGTGTGAAGTCATTATCTTTTCTTCTGAATTTGATCAACCTGTGATACTTTGTGTCAAACATGGATTTTTCAGTTCCACAGTTCACTTCCCTTCCAAAATTGAAGTAAATATATTAAAAAAGCAAGGAGATTTTACAGAGTAGCATCAAGGTAGCTTACTGTGGAGGTTTTTTTGCAAAGTGTCATGGGCTGTTTGTTTTATCTCTTTGTTTCCTGCCTGTTGGTCAGATTTTGATTCATGGCAACCTTTTGTCTCCTAACCCATGATTAATGTTCCAGAAACATTTCCTGAAGGTCCTTGTCAAAGATCTTTCAAAGGTTTAAATCTAGGTACAACCTCTAAAACAACAACAAAAAAAACCAGTGTCCATTTTAGGGACAATTTATTCCCAACAACTCAAGACCTTCCTACCTGAACTCCTGAAGGACTCCTGGGTGCATACATGATAATATATTTTTCCTGGCTACTCAGTGTTTTGATCAGAAACGGGTCAGAGAAATGATCAGTTTCTCCAGCATTGGGCCAATGGATCCTTTGGGTCCTTTGAGCCTATTAGTTCCTTTGGAAACTTGCAGTTTGTGATATATTTTTTTGAAAAAATCAT